ATCACAGCTCAGATTCTCAACCCTAAGTCTGGCATGAGGCAGCTAAGGATCACGAAACCACAGCGGTTTACAAGGATAGGAACAGAATGGCAACAACTGACCAAACATCAGATAAAATGCCCCACGCATGCATGCACACAACATCCTTAATGTCCGTGTACTGTGCGATCTGGGTGGTACCCTGGAGCAACATCACACGTTGAAGAAGCAAGGGGCCAGGATGAAACCCAAGAATTACCTATAAGGCTGCAGTCTCCTTCCCCACCAGCAAGGCAAAATGGTAACTCAGAGTTAGAAATTAGGTTTCTAGAAAGCAGTTATATTTCTTCTGCCCTTGATTTTATACATGTGACATCACACACGTATATTGAGAACTATAAATATAGGGCATCCTGCTAGTCCAAGTTGTGGTAGAAAATACAGAAGGCAATCCGAACATGGTTAGCCAAGGCATTCAGAGTCGGGCAAGAGCAAACAGCAGTAACTGTAGTTAACACTATGCACCACCTGCGTGCACACCATGTGCTACGCTCTTTGTAAACAGATCACATTTAACGGAATCTTCCTGACAACAAGCCTTTGAAGTTCAGAGGTTTAAAGAAGGCAAGGGACTTGGCTAAGGATCCACACGAGTAATCTGTGGGACTTGGACATGGACCGAGGTACGCCTGCCTCCCAGTCTGTTTTCCTTCTTGCCGTTATGACTCTCCCACGGAGAGACTAATATGAATGCTCTCCTTTGATAATCAAATATCCACTGGATGCAGGCTCTGGCTCATGTTTTCTAAGAGTCGGGATGGGGTAAAGTCAAACAAACCTTCTCTACCTTGGTGTTCAATGTACCCATTGGCAGATGACTAGCCAGGGCCCCGAGATTGGACAACAGACATTAGCCAAATTCATTCCCATGACCTTTGGAGCTGTGGCCTTGACTGTATCTGTCAATCAGTTCCTCCAAACAGTCTGGAGCACTCACTCACACTGTCCACATGTGCAGCAAAGAAGTGACGACATAATGGATTTGGCGGTGAAATCCCAACTTTTCTATCCATGTGCAAAAGGAAGAATTTGGTTATAAGCAAAATGTCTAGTTTGCTTCTAGAGACATTTTGCTTATAGAGACGGATGTGTGGATGCATCTATTTGCAAAATAGACATTTTGCTTATAGAGAGAAACTTTGCTTATAGAGAAAAACTTCATAGAGCTGTTTTGCTTTGAGATGCAGGAACTTAACTCCACATCTAAGAAACTATTTTAAATTCTTCTCTGGTGCTTCCTAGAAAAGGAAAATAAGTTGATTCTGGCAATAAAATGTTAATAGCTTTTCCTTAAGTATTAATCTACTGAACAAATGTTGAGAATAGGAGCAGCAGTCATATAATGCTGTGAGGGACATGATTTATGTATTTTCTTTTGCTGCTTCTGCTATTTGATCCCGGGCAAATGACTAAAACAAATCTCAAATCCCAAAGAGAAGTATATTGAACGATACAGAAAAGTAGAAAACACAGAAAAATCTAAATGGTGAGAGATGAGTATCTCTTCCTTTGTGTCCTTTTCTGGAATAAACTCTCCCCCTTTGGGGTTATAGAACCATTTAAATTTCACTTTCTCATATACAAACTGAATTTCATCGGTGAAGACCCTCAGAAATCAGTGGGTCCACCGTCCCATTTTGTAAATGGGAACATTTGAGATGCCATGAGGTGAAGTGACTTATCCAATGTCCTGTGTTCATTAGGACAAATAAGGTTATTATTTCAAGTTAAGGGGGAAGGGTACTGACTTAGGAATGAAAAGATCTGGATTCTCCTTTCCACTCAGCCATTAATGAGACTTTCTATATCAAATAAAAGTGTTAGATTCGATGGTTTTGGAAAATCCTTCCCTCTCTGAAGGTGCTATAATTCTGGGAACATGAACATCAGTTGCTCTTGATTTTCTTTCTAGAAACGCAGTAACCTTCTTTGCGGTTATGATAAAGAGGCAATATGTATAGAAGTTATGAGTTCGGGCTCTGACCCCAATCCCAGCCCTCACATGTACGTGTAGGGAAAGCCTGAACAAATTAACCTGTCTTCCTCATCTGCAAAATGAAGACTGTCAAAGTACCTACGACATATGGCCCTTAGAAGGATTAAATGAAATAACAAAGGTCAGGCATTCAACACAGTGCATGGCACATAGCAACTACTCAGTAAACAGAGGCTGCCATTAATATGACCATAAAGGAAACAGATTTGGTGTCTCTGGGTGAGTTCTAAGAAGGCACCCCTTCCTCAGGGCAAGAGCACCCAAGAGCTAAGGTCTACATCAAGACAGGATCTCATTCTCTATGGCTGTGTATCTGGCTTTAAAAGCAAAAACAAGAGGGGTGCCTGGGTGGCTCAGTTGGTTAAACATCAGACTCTTGGTCTCCACTCGGGCCACAAGATCACAGTTGTGAGACGGGGCTCAGTCTCAGCAGGGAATCTGCTTGGGATTCTCTCTCCCCCTCTCTCTCTGCCCCTCCCTGGCTTGCACACGCATGCTCTCTCTCTCTCTCAAAATAAATAAGTGAATACACAATTAAAAACACACACCCAAAACAACAACGAAACGAATTTCCCAATCTCCCTTCCTGCTAGCGGAAGCCAATGCTGTGTGTTTACTAGAACGGAGGCCTTGAAAAAGCTCTTTCGACAGGCCCTACTTAGATGGCAGGAACACTTTATCGCTTCCCTTCTTTTCCTTTTTTTTTTTTTTTTTTTAAGCCTGGGATGCAAAAGCAATGGCTGGAGTGTCAGCACTTTATTGATTATAAGGGAAGGACTAAAAGACTTTCAGAAATTCAGTCCTTGAGCTGACAATTCAACGCCAGCAACCACTGATTTCTGGACTTCTTATTTTAAAACTCACGTTCTTATTTAAGCTGCCATGATGCAAACACACTTCCTACCAACAACATGCCCCCAAATCGATTTCTCTTTGCTGTCAACACATATTTGCAGACTTGTCTGGCCAGCTGTCTACTTGCTCCTGGCCACGTAGGGGTCCTAAGTCTCTGGCCATCACTTAGATTTTTGCAAAAAGTCCACGCTGTCCTTGAGGTCCTTGCTACTCTGTGTGGTGTGGGGGCCAGCAGGATTAGTGTCACCTAGGAACTTGTTAGAAATTCAGATTCGTTAGCTCCACCCCAGACCTCCTGAGTCATACTCTACATTTTAACAGGATCCCAGGGATATCTGTGTACATTAAAGCCTGAGGCCCCAGACTAGACTTGCAGGGTCTACTCTGCCCTTCCTCTTAATTACGCACTACTGCCAAAAGGATGCTCCTGAAGCACCGCTCTAACAACGTCACTCTCGTAGGAAAACTTCAGGGCACCTCACTGCTTACAAATGAAAGTTCAGACTCCTTAGTCTGATACTCAAGGCCTTCTATGGTCTTAATGTCTTCCTGGAAATGCCCATCAAAGTGCCTGCCATGCACGTAGTAGGTGGGCAATAAATAATGCTCTGCATAAAAGGAAAACAAAAAAGGAGTGTACCTGAGAAACAACGGATTTCTCAGTTCTGGCTTTCCGATGCCAGGCATTTGGGATACAGTAGTACCAAAAACAGACATGGTCACTTGGCTTCATGGAGCTTAGAGACTGACTGGAAGGAGAGAATTTTAAGACACAAATAAAAAAACTATGCAATGACACATGATAAGTGCTAGGGGGGAAAAATGAACAGGAAGTGATATAGAGTGAGGCACCCTGGTCAGAAGGATGGTCCCACACAGCTGGGTGGGGTGGGGTGGGGGACAGCCTGCTGGAACAGGCACAGGGAAAGCGCCAGCCAAGCCTTAAGAGAATTCGGTGCGTTTCAGGATCGGGGGGAGGGGCTGCCCTTTCAGGCTCACCCAGAAAATAGACTCCCTTGGGGGCAAGGCATCATGGGGTGCACCTTCCTTCCAAGTCACTTAAGAGAAAACGCTGACTTTCTTTTCCCTCACATATGGCTTCACTGGGACCACGGGTGAGGCCGATAGCAGGGCACGCTGCAGAGTCGCTGGGAGTCCAGCCCTGCAAATCAGACCTAGAGAAATTCGAATCCCAGCTCCGCCACTGACTGACTCCCTCGAGCCCGAAGCTTCTGCTCCCTCAGGTGCCAAGCGAGGTTAATAGGAGCAACTTTGTAGTTACGGTGCACGTCAGGTTGATAACGCGCGTAAAGCTGCCCAGAACACTGCCACCCACATCGGTGCTCACCTGAACACGGGCGGCTGCACGATGACGACGGTGACGATCACTACTGTTAATCATTAGCCTGTGGGCAGAAGGCTCTACCCACAGAGTCCTGCCCGCCCCCTCACCCACGCGTCCCCCAGGCCTCCCGACCCCGCCATCCCTAGCCGCCTCCCCCTGCGCGCGGCCACCGTGACCCCAGCGCGGGCGCCAGACGCCGCCGCCGGACCCCCGTTACCTGGGGCCAAACGCGACTTGTCGCCACCTTGCGTCCTGGGCCCTGCCTCCCTCCCGGCCCCGCTGCTGCCCGCGGCGGCGCCCCCCAGCCCGGCCCGGCCCGGGCGGCGCGGGCTGCCTCGGCGGGGCTGGCGGCGGCGGCCACGCTGCGCGCTCCGGCGGAGGGGAGGGGGCTCCGCGGCGGCGGCGGCGGCGGCGGCGGGCCCGGCGGGGGGCAGAGCCAAGAGGCGCGGCGGCGGCGGCGGCGGCGGAGGAGGAGGAGAAGGAGGAGGATGCGGGGGGCTGCGGGCGGCGGCACGGCCCTGTCCGCAGTGAAGCCCGCGGCGCCCAAGGTGCAGGGAGTGGCCGTCGCCTCCTGCGCGCATCATTCCTGAGATGGCGGCGGCGCGGCGGCGGCTCGGAGAGCCCGGGAGGGGCCAGCCGGGCGCGGGCTGAGCGCCGCCGGCCGGGGAGCTCGCCCCAGGGCCCGCGCGGCGGCGGAGGCCGGCCCGGGGAGCGGCGAGGCCGGGAGCGGCCCCGGAGCGGAGCGCACGGCCTGGGGAGGCCGCGATGGCGAACGCGAGCGAGCCGGGCGGCGGCGGCGGCGGCGGCGGCGGCGAGGCGGCCGCCCTGGGCCTCAAGCTGGCCACGCTCAGCCTGCTGCTGTGCGTGAGCCTGGCGGGCAACGTGCTGTTCGCGCTGCTCATCGTGCGGGAGCGCAGCCTGCACCGCGCCCCGTACTACCTGCTGCTCGACCTGTGCCTGGCCGACGGGCTGCGCGCGCTCGCCTGCCTCCCGGCCGTCATGCTGGCGGCGCGGCGTGCGGCGGCCGCGGCGGGGGCGCCGCCGGGCGCGCTGGGCTGCAAGCTGCTCGCCTTCCTGGCCGCGCTCTTCTGCTTCCACGCGGCCTTCCTGCTGCTCGGCGTGGGCGTCACCCGCTACCTGGCCATCGCGCACCACCGCTTCTACGCCGAGCGCCTGGCCGGCTGGCCGTGCGCCGCCATGCTGGTGTGCGCCGCCTGGGCGCTGGCGCTGGCCGCGGCCTTCCCGCCCGTGCTGGACGGCGGCGGCGGCGGCGACGACGAGGACGCGCCGTGCGCCCTGGAGCAGCGGCCCGACGGCGCCCCGGGCGCGCTGGGCTTCCTGCTGCTGCTGGCCGTGGTCGTGGGCGCCACGCACCTCGTCTACCTCCGCCTGCTCTTCTTCATCCACGACCGCCGCAAGATGCGGCCCGCGCGCCTCGTGCCCGCCGTCAGCCACGACTGGACCTTCCACGGCCCCGGCGCCACCGGCCAGGCGGCCGCCAACTGGACGGCGGGCTTCGGCCGCGGGCCCACGCCGCCCGCGCTCGTGGGCATCCGGCCCGCGGGGCCCGGCCGCGGCGCGCGCCGCCTCCTCGTGCTCGAGGAGTTCAAGACGGAGAAGAGGCTGTGCAAGATGTTCTACGCCGTCACGCTGCTCTTCCTGCTCCTCTGGGGGCCCTACGTCGTGGCCAGTTACCTGCGGGTCTTGGTGCGGCCCGGCGCCGTCCCCCAGGCCTACCTGACGGCCTCCGTGTGGCTCACCTTCGCCCAGGCCGGCATCAACCCCGTCGTGTGCTTCCTCTTCAACAGGGAGCTGAGGGACTGCTTCCGGGCCCAGTTCCCCTGCTGCCAGAGCCCCCGGACCACCCAGGCCACCCTCCCCTGCGACCTGAAAGGCATCGGCTTGTGAGGGGGCCCCCCTGCCTCGTGCGCCCCACCCAGCCTTTCCCTCTGGCTCGGACCCTGATGTCGTCGCCCCCTCTTCTGCCCCCTTGTTAATTTTCTAAGCTGCCTTCAAAATGACTCTCAAAGTGGACACGCACTTGGGAGTGTACAGACTCCTTTTTTGGGGGGTGGGGGTGGGGGGAGGGATGGGTTTCGATGTTCCGGCCCCACCCCAGCTCCGCGCATTTGTCTTTCCGAGTGTGTTTTCATCCTGACAATAGGCCTTGGAGTCTTTGTACTGGTACTGACGTCTTTTATTCCATGTGCTACTCTTTTTTTTTTTTTTTTTAAATAAAGGCTAAACTAATTTTCTTCATGCAACGTTTCCTAAAGACCATGGCCAGTTTTCTACAGAAGCTATTTTTGACAACCTCAAGTGGCATTACATTTCGCAGTGAAGTAGAGGAACGTAGGGGACTTCACAAGTTTGGTTTCTTGAGGGTCTTCTGTGGGAAGCAGGAGAAAGCCGGGGGAAGGGGCCCGGGGGGGGGGGGGCCGGGGGGGGGGGGAAATTGTCTTCAGCTCCCTCTGAGTTGCCGGCCGGCCGTGGGGTCCATGGTGCCGCTCCGGTTCTTTGAAAGTGTTGAAAACTTTGTTCGGTGTTGATAACGCATTTAAAGAGCAGAAACGGGAGTGTAAAGTAGCGAGGCAGTGTTTTTTAAGCAGTGGCAAGTGAAAAGATTTGTTTCCTACCTTACTTTATACTACTAGGTATACGCATCCAGCAGCCGCCACTGCTCTCTGTATTATACCAATCTTGAGTGGAAACATTTCTGTAAAATTGTAACTTTTCAAAAGAGTAAAAGTGTTTTGGTTAGTGATGGTGTGGAGAAAAAAAAAACCAGTATTGCATGTTTTTTGTACTGATTGTGGTTCTCGGATTGGGAAGGCTCTGGGAAGCAGAGTACTAAGTCGGAACTGCTTAGGTATTTTTTGCCAGTAAAAATGAAAATACGTTTATGGAAACAGCTTGTGCTTTGAGAAGCCCAGTTTTATTCTGTCTTATGAAACGAATTTCCACTTTGAAAACTGTTCTTTTGTTCATGGTGTAAATGAATGGAATGGAATGATACTCTACTTCTACAAGACAAAGCATTTCCTTAAAATGTTTGCTAGGTTAAGCTGTGCTGTTCATCTGATGGGTGTTTTAAATTAATAATGACAACCATAATTTTAAATATTTGTTAGACACATGGTAATCTTAAATGGAAAGACTGAATTCTGCAAGTACTGTATAATATTTTTTGCTTATAATGCTACATTTTTATTAATGTACCTTCCGTTTTGAGGATTTATATCTGTATTTCTCTTTGCATTATACAAATATACCAGTATTTTCATTCTGGAGTGGTTTCTTGTTGCTGTGGCTTAAGATTGTGGCTGGTACCAACACACTTCTAAATATGGTATTCATGTTCCATTATTCTTTTAGAGCATGCCTCTTTCGTCTAGTTGACCCTCAGAATATCTCAGACATTTGGAGTCTTGTTAAGATACAAGATAAAAATCTGCAAATATTTTCTTTAAATGAAAGCAGTAGCATATATTCCTTTAAAATTCTTTTTATGAACATACGGAAAGGAGTGTGAGCAAAGAGATCATTTTGATAAAAACAATAACTAAATATGAGTACAGTAAATATGTTGAAATTTATTGTAGTTGCTCATAATATAAATTATTAGGTATTTACTCCAAGAGGGATATGTCATAATAAGTGGGTGTGGCCAGTCTATTTCTGATAAATGGTCAGCAGTAAGTCTTCTTTTTTGTCTGTAGGAGACAGTCTGTGAAGATGGCCTCATATTTGGAAAATCTAAGTAACAATTACCTTATTTCTCCCCAGGTCATGAGACCGGGTAGATGTTAATTATCCAACAGCCACTTGTCAGAAAACTCAGCTAACTCGAAGACAGAGAGACCCAGGAAGTAAACCTCTCCTCATCCAACCCTCCTCCCACTCCCAGGGATCCAAGTTCAAAACAGTAGAACTCACTAAGCCCATGTGATTTTCAGAATATTTAGCACCTGGCCTGGCACAGGGACTAAACCATGTGACCCCTGAACACCTTCAGCCTTACTCAGAAGCCTGACTGTGGAGACAACTGTTTAGACCAGTCCCTATATATGGATTTGAGTTCATGGATATTTTTTTTACAGGAGAATCCATAAACCCGTGATTCTCAAGTTTTAATATTCATAAGAATTACCTGAAGTGCTTGCAGGATCCAGAGATTCTTATTAGGAGGGGTTGAGGTTGGACCCAAGAAAGAACATTTTGAAGAAGTGCACAGGCTGGCTGGAGATATACCAACAGGCCTTTGTTCAGACAAAGATTTACTTTACTATTTTATTTTTAAAAAATGTTTTGAGAGATTGAGTGAGGAAGCACAAGTCGGGAAGGGGCAGGGAGAGACAGACGGGGAAAGAGAACATTCCACACAGGCTCTGTGCTGTGAGTGCACAGCCCAACCCAGGACTCGAACCCGTGAACTGTGAGATCATGACCTGAGCCAAAATCAAGCATTGGATGCCGAACTGACTGAGCCACCCAGGCGCCTCTCAGACGAAGGTTCACTTGAGATGTCATGTCTACAAATTCAGTTATCTGGTTTGGTTTTGTGGTGCTTTATTCTGATTGGGTGGGTGATTTCTAATGAGAGTTCAGGTGAAGAGTAATGAGAAATGACAGGCAATTGTAAAAAGAAACAGAAGAACAAAGAGAGGCAGAGGATCGAGCTGCCGAGGGGAATAGTGTGTAGGGGCAAAAAGCCTCTCACCCTTCAACAGCTTTTTGGATCAATGAATCTATTAACATGTACTTTGATTGCTAATTAATAAAACATCATAAAAAAAAAGTTTAGTTGTGTTTCAGAACACTCTAGTCATCATCGCAGGACAGGTACAGGTCTTTGGGGAAGACTTCTATTAAAATATCACATTTGTTTATTTGAGAAGTTAATTTAGCACACCTCCACCCCCCTGCACTCTCAAGAGATAAATGGGTCATCACTGCACTTAAAGCAATGGAAAATAGATTTCTTGTATATAAATCTTCATCTGCATGACTGGCATGGAACTATTGGCTCAAAAATATGCATTTTTAGGTGTTTTGATATCCTATGTCTAAAAGCTTTGCAGAAAAAAAAGGGCATCTATTTACATTTCCACCTAACTGTTCCTTTTTAAAAAAAGGAAATATCTCAAGTGGGGAAGCATATAACAAACCAATAACCATAAAGACAAACAATAATCTCTCATTCGCTATCCATCCTTGACAAATCTTGTCAATTTTTCCACGTTTGTTTCCCCTTTCCTTTTCTCTTCTCTCCCCCCCCTTTTTTTTTTAACTTCTCCTTGATGCTTTTTGTTCCTCTTCTCTATTCCCTCTCCCCGTTCTTCTCTTTCTCCTTTTCCATTTTTTCCTCTTTCTCTCTCTTTTTAAGAGATATTAAATAAGGCACAATTATTTTTGGCAAGTCTTTCATCTCACCACTACCGCCCCCCCCCCCAACTTCTCAAATGCCCTGCCCACTAAAAGATAACAGGGTCCTGGGTCCTAGGGCTGAGCTTGGGTTTCCTTCTGCAGAGGGAGGGGTGGGTGGGTGGGATGCCCTTACTATCTTCCTAAGGCCTGAAGGATGGAGTGCAAACTTCTTTGCCTGTCACAGAAAGCCTTTCACGGTCTGGCCCCTCCACCACCCTGACGTCACCCTCCCTTTGCATTTCCATCTCTTCCTTCCCTGATGACCTTTGAATAAGCTGTCCCTGGAAAGCCTATGCCCCCTTCTCTGTCTGGGAATCTCTCACTAACTCCTCCAGAGCAGAGACAATGTTTAAGAACTGGGATGGCAGAGGCGTAACTCACCTGTGTATCCACACCCCTGGGTCCCTGCTGACCAATGGGTTTGTGCTGGACCCAGATCCAAGACTTCTACCAGCCTTTCTTGGCCCAGCCACCCTCCGTGGGGCTCTTGGGGCGCACTGTGTTTACCTGTGTAAATCCTCGCGCATGCTCGTGGCGCTGAGCTCCCTGAGCTCCACCTCTGTCCATTCCCTTCCCAGGCCCTGTCTTCCAGCCACTCCACGGCCACCAATGCCCTGAGCAACGTGTCCTACCAACAAGCCTTGGCATGTATTGTTCCTTGTGTCCGAAGTCTTCACGCCCTCACTCCCCGACGCAATTGCTACTAAGATTTCAGATGTAAGGTGTGAATTCCTAGACGTAAGGGGGGAGCTAGCTGCCACAGAGGCGAAAGACCATTCTAGGGCAGACCCTGCAAATGGTTCCAGTCTCCAAACCCACTCACTAGATACGAGTGCCATGGTGGGTTGAGTTGCAAATGTATGGTCTTACCGGCATTTTGAATTGTTCGTGTGCTGAGGTGACGGGGTTAGAAAGTGCAGTGGATATAAAATGCTGTTCTCCATTCACCTGGCAGATGTGTCATTCCGTGTCACCTGCCAAGCCCACTGAGCTTCAGGACCCTCTCCGTGAGGGGTAAAGGAGGTAATGGGAAACTGTCTCTACCCATTCACATTCTAGACCAAAATCAATAATATTTGCGTTGGTTTTTAGCTGCTTCTGGAGTGAAGAGAAGTTAAAGCAAACGTACTCTGAGTTCAAGGGGTTCTTTACGCCTTTTCTCCAACTTAGACAAGACTTTGGGGGTCCAACCCAGCCCATGAATAGAGCTGTCTTCTCTTCCACCAGTCCTACCACCTCCTTTCTTTTGGGATGTTTTTGGTGATGATTTGGTGTTTGGAGCCACGGCAGCCATCTTGCAACCATGAGAAGTGATACTGTCACCGCAGTGAAGGTAGCAGACCAGAGAGAGAAAAACAGCAGGCATCTATTTTAACAGAGTTGAGCTCCTTAACCAAACAAGCAACGTCATGGGATCCCTGGGTGGCTCACTGGGTTAAGTGTCTGACTCTGGGCTTCCGCTCAGGTCACAATCGCACAGTTTGTGGGATCCAGCCCCCGTTGAGCTTTGAGCTTTGCACTGACAGCTCAGAGCCTGCTTGGGATTCTCTCTCCCTCTCACTCTGTCCCTCCCTGCATGTGCTCTCTCTCTCTCACTCTCTCTTTCTCTCTCTTTCAAAGTAAATAAGTAAACATAAAATAGTCCCACAGGCAACCTCATACCTATAGACTCCCAATCTTGAAATAAATACCACTATTGCTTCAGGCACTAATAGTGTTGCTTTCTGAAGCAACAATTACCTGCAACAATACTTAAAATATTCAATTCCTTTAATTTCTTTGACAGGAATACTTGATATCCTGGAACTGTAGTC